CCGGCACCTCTCCAGAGCACCACGAGTGTTCATAAAGCCGTGCCAGGGGACTTGCAATGACCCCAGCGAGTTCCTTCAGGACTCTAGGGTGAAGATCATCCGGGCCGGCTGACTTAAAGACGTCCAGCCCCTCCAGAAGCTCCCTAACTAAATCCTCACTCACTCTAGGCCCAGGTGAGCCTCCCCTGGGGCCCGAAGGGGGCTCAGCAGGGCGGTGGCAGTTCTGGTCCTTACTGTTAATTGAATACTACTATGTTCTATGTACTATGTATTGAATACTACTATGTTAACTGAATACTATTGGATTACAATTCTGCTACCGTTTAAGCAGAAAACTACCTCTTTTGTAGCAAAAGGCTATTGCTTGCCTTTGAAGTTGCTTTATCCTGAGTTCAGTTTATATATGTTAGTGTTATCCTCTTTAGCCTAGTCTACATGACAATGCTCTGTTGTGAGTGGGAACTGTGAGTGTATATATTCAAAACCCTACTGATGGCAGGCCCCTTGGTCTGCTGGCAGAGTGACACCACCTCCACCAAGTGAAGGAAGGCTTTTTTGCTATACAGCAAGCCCATGTAGATACTCTTGAGCTTTCTAGCAACGGCCATGGCTGCTTTTTAGAAGTGTAGGTACTCTCAGGGTGCACTTTGTACCCCAGTGACATAGCTACTGCAGCAGAGCCAAAACTGCCAGAAGCACATGGATTGAGGCCTGTGGCAGGGCTAGGTGTGAGTATAGACACAGATGTAGTTAAAGCCAACATGCTTTCTTTGTTTCTAATTGAGCAGAGGTTGCAGTCTGTATCACCCACACAGCTGTTATGAGAGCAATGCCAGAGAAAAGGCACTCTTTTGTGGGGGAGAGCAGGTGGTTATACTAGGCTTTCTGTAGTGGGGAGTTTCTTTAGTTTACAGCCAGTAATCTATGGGGTCTCAGAGACAGGCTGCCAGGGAGAGATGGAGATAGCAAATCAGTGTCTCTTCATCCAGTCCTACTCACTTGTTGGACCATGCTTGCTAGGTCCTGGTTCTCCAGCATAGTGGAGATTACAGGCCCCTACAATCCTCTGCTATTCATCTCTGGATGGATTTTCAAGGCCACTGGGGCCTTGAAGTGTGAATTCTGCTAGACAGCAAAAATGAAGCTTGTAATATTAAGCAGCATTAGAAGAATGTGGAAAAAGGTTTCCTGTTTTTTCAACATGAATAACTCATTGGATTAAATATATTAGCTACTTTTATGCAAACTATCACCAATCGCTGTTCTGTTTATTGCAATAATGTGAAGGATAATACTTCACATTCCCCCTATTTAGTATACTGTAAACACCAGCCATTCCAATAAGGCATTATATTTGTAAACAGTTTGGACATAACATCCCTCAAGCAACAAGGCTAGTACAGATTTAGTACCTTAATGTCAGCATTACACCTGGATTTCATCTCAGTCACAAAATAGAATCATGCCTCTACTTCAGGCTCTCTAACACAGCGGTGCATCTTAAAATAATAATATCTATCTATCTATCTATCTATAGGACATGCAAATGAATGTCTGATGCCTGAATCTTTGGATTTAGTGCACTTTTGGAAAGGCCTTGGTGAGTCTCTAATATCATAAAGTGCTGATGTCATTTAGCCAGCTAAAGCTGCAGCCATTCATTTCTGCTGATACAGGTGCTTTAATGGGAAAAATATATTGACTATTTAAATCGATATCATGTGACTAAGTTTGTTCTCTGTGTGACCTTGGGAACTACCTAGTCTTATCAACATTTTTTTCCAGTTCTTATGAAAGAAAGCTAATTCCATAGGTATCAATCCTAGATTACAGCTAAACATTCAGTCTTTAGAGATGTACTAATGTAAGTACCTCCTGTTACAAAACAATTGACTTTTTCATCCCCTTAAAATCTCCTTTCTATTGTGTACTGATTTGAGCATTAATAATACATACCTGTTTGTTAACAAACAGATGCATTTAAGTTATTTTCATACCCATTTTATTAAACAGAAATTGCATGATTAGAATGGTTGGTAGCATGTTGCAGCAGCATACAATGAATCAATAATTATTTTGTTAAATTACCTCAGTGCTTGGGAAAGGTATCAGATTAAGTAAATAATTTCATTTTAATGCTTTATGCACTCTGCAGGGATTGACTCATTAATAGTTTACCAACATGAATCCTGCAAACTGGTTTGAAGGCTTGGAAACCAGCCAGCCCCAAGTACATTTGGAGCTTCAAGTGCAACAAATTTCTGCCTCCACGGGGCCCCTCCCCATATGCAGACAAACAGCTTATCCAAACATGCAAGCTGTGCTCTCCCATCAGAAGGACCTTACTGTAGCTGCACCCATTTCCCAAATAATTTGAAACGTCTTTCAGAGACGTCTTTCAGATGTCTTTGTGGGCTGCATCATGGAGCTTGGGGGAGGGAAGAAGGTATGGCTGCTTGTAGTCGGCAGTAGGTAGGCCGGTTCACTGGCTTTTCAGTGCTTACAGACAGGGCTTTAAGCATACCATTTCAAGCCCCAGTTTGAACAGGTCTGAGTTTGGATGCAAAGGGTTTACCCAAATTTACTCTCCTGATCTACAGTACATATACAGCACAGGCAATAAATTTCTGCACACTCCACCATCAGTATAGCCTGATCTCAACTGGGAACTGAATTTGCATTCCCATCAAATCTGTGGTCCTTCTGCTGAGACTCCAAATAAAGGTGTCAAAGAGGGTCAATTGCGGTGGTGATTTTTGGATATAAAATCCTGTGTACCAGGAAGTAGTCTGAGATTAATTACATGTGCATTTATACTCTGCAGCAATGCCATTTATATATATTCTATACTAAGACTTGCTGTACCGCTCCTGGCGCATATATTAGAAATTTATTTTAAATTGTTTGTTATAAAATATATTAAATGTGATGTCATACATTGATATCACATCTTGCTGAGGGGCCAGGAATTGAAGGAGCGGGGCATCTGACATGCACATAGCCCTGTGGTGGTTTCTTCAGGATAAGGTTGACACGTACTGGTGGGTAAGGTGGGCTGGGGACAGCCTGCTCTACCACTATCTGTGCTGTATTCATTCAGTATGCTATACTTGTTCTGTGAACACAAGACTTCACTCTTCCATGCTACCAACTCCAGCACTTTTCATTAGAACTAAAATCCATTAACAAAGATCCTCCCTCAGACAAAAAAAAAAGTTTTTTTTTTAAAAACCATTTTTACATAGTGAATTGAAATTATGGATAGGAACAAACAAAAGCCCCAGATCTAAACATTTTGGGGATTCTGAAATGCACATGTCAAAGTTTAGGATCATTTCCAGTTAAAGTAATATAGTTTTCTGGTGCTTCCCCCCCCCCCCCCCGACTCCCCCAGTTGGTAAGCATACAGAAGATGTTAAATCTGAAAATTTCTTACCTTCTTGTAGAGACTTCTCAGGTCTCTGTACTGCCACATGCTATTTAGGACCTGAGATGCTGCTTTCACCACTTTTGGTGAGTGCCTGTTAGATGAAAAAAAGAAAAGGAAAGAGACAGTTAAATCCCTGATTCAATTAATGTTGATTTGTGAGTGAATTACACAGGATCAAAGTTCCACTGTTCATCAGCCCTGTCAATATCCTGGGAGAGCTTTTTGTTCAGTGGTTTGTGGAGTAATATTCTTTTGACTGACAAGTACATGTCTCAGCTCCATGGTAGTAAGTGAATGAAAAGGAAGCAAAAATCAATGTACATTTCAACTGGGCACTGAATGAGGAGGTGGGGGTCCTGTTGAGAAGAGACATACAGGAGAATTTGGTTGAGATGGAGCTCTGCTGCTGAACTTTTGAACTGCTAGGTCAGCCATGAGGGAAAACACAGCATGAAAACTGTGAGTAAACTGAATATGGAGAGGTGGTTTGGCTGCAAGTCTGTGCATTTTGGCATGAAGGACAAGAGTACAGGACTTGGTTTCACTGGCTACAGACTAGAAGACTTTAAGTTAAATACCTGATGAGAGCACAGCTCCACATGCCATCTACCAGATGGCTGGAATAAATATTCCAGCCAAAGGTGTATACACAGCTGCAAATAAGACAAAAGACTCAGAAGGTCAAAAAAGGAATAAATATACAGTGATCAATGCATTAGGAGTCAATGAGCTTCCCATGGAATCCAAATTTGGCCTTACATATTGAAAGCATTGACTATAGTAACTGATTAATGACTGCATCCTAAACCTATATTCACGGGCATTAGTTGAGGGGTGTCACACAAACACCCCTCTAGAATTCTTTTCCCAGAAGACAATTTTTTTCAGGGAATAAGAGCCATATTTTATGTTCGTCTCAGCATAGGCTGTTCAGAAAGGAGCAGAAGACACTTACACCCAATGAAGAAGGGCTAGGGAAGACAACACTGGGTGCATCTACATGTGCTATTAATTCCTAGATTCATAATGTGCAACAATGAACTCTGGCGCATATCACACTAGAGTTTATTACTCCCAGGCATCACATCTGAATGTGAGCCTGGGACTGCAGCACATTGAGCTGGGTCAGAGCAGCCCATGCTGGCAGAGGGTCTGGGGCATCTGCCTGCCAGCCCAGGGCTGTTCTGACCAAGCTCAACATGCTGCAGAAGGCCTAGCTGGGGGGCACGAGGGTGCTCCAATGTGGGGTTAGCTGGCAGGCAACCTCCACATTAAAGCAGCCTCATGCCCCAGCCAGACCTGTCAGTGTCTACTCACGCATTACTATAAAGTAAAAAAAAACTCTGCCACAGGATAGTACTTGTCATTTACAAGTACTACCCTGTAGCCAAGTTAATTAGCTTACTTTGCCCTAATAGCACTGCACATGTAGATGCTGAGAGATTCACTGCAGAGCTAATTAGGCAACTCCACGGCAAATATCTTGTGTAGACATGCCCACTGAAGTAAAATGTGACTGTGTTCATCATTCACATCACATAGTTAATCCTGTCCCCTCAGCAAAAACTAAGCAGTAGAGCCCCAAGCAAAACTGTGTGGTTAGGTGGAACTGGGGAGCAGCTATTTATGTGTTTCATGTTTCCCTTAGGAAAAAGCACAAATGATGATCCTAGATACACTGGCAACTGAGCTAGTAAAATACTATTAATCACATAATGTATTCAATTAATTTACACAATATGTTCACAGTAAATTATTGGGTGATTTTTTTTTCCATTATTCACCCCATGTACAGTGATAGCTGAGCAATTCATAGATAAGAATTTGCTGAACATTTTCAAGCATAGTTGTTTTCATTATTTACCCAGCTCTATCTGCAAGTGTAGGCCAATAGTGTCAGTAATGCTGTTGGTAGTGAGGGCCACGAGGAGCAATGGGAACCTCTGAGTTGGGCTAAACACATATGGGACTGGGATCAGTTCTGTCATACCACTGGAGAGGTACATGACTTTTATGGCCTGATTTGTATGGCCTGAGACAAACTGGAAGAATTAATCCTATGCTCTTGGCACTTACATGACTTTACCTTGTCCCTGTGCAAAGAATCATGGGACAACTAGTGGGTTCACATAAAGATGAAGGATACACTCTATCCGCAGATTGCCAGAGCACTATTAATGAACCTTATTTTGCTGCATGCAAATTATAATAAGCCAGTCAGAAAAGAATATGGTGGTGTAACATAGGAATGTCCAAATTCTAATTAACTTGTGGCCATGTGACATACAGGCTGCACCAGTGCAGGCCATGGAAGCTCTGGGCCACACTTTGTGGGGTGAAGCCAGGAAGTGGAAAACAGGCGAGGGTGGGGTAGTTCAAGGAACATGGCTGGTACTACAGCCAGAGTGATATGGGGGTAGGGGGCAGGTTGAGGGGGGGATGGTAGCTTGATGGGAGACTAAAAGCTGCAAATTAACCCCATGCAGGCCACATATGGCCCACAGGCTGCTGAGCTGGACTGCCCTGATTTAACAAGTGATAAATTGAATTAAACACATCAAAATGTTTATAAATCCTACTGTAACACCTTTTAAAAAGTTTAGGAGTGTTAAAATAGCCTTCTTATGCCACAGAATCTTTGATCTTCAATTTCTGTTGATTTTGGCTGGAAGCAGGCACAGCATATACTGATTTTTTTAATATGACAGTAATTACAATAGAAACAACAATAAATCGTTCTTTTGAACCTAGTAACAGTTGGCCTTTACAACACTGGACAAACATAGGGATACTTTACAATACCAGACAAAGTTACTTTCTCTGTTAACCATTAATAGCAAATACAGATATCCTTTCAGTAGCTGAATGGCAAGAAAGGCATCCTATAATCTATATTACAAATGATAGAACCTCTGTGAAAGAACTAGAAACAATGATATAGAACTCTAACGCTTTTGAAAGACAGGTATGAAACTCCTGTTTAAGCTGAGAATTGGTGATGGTTCTGATCTCAGCCCCATGCTAGGAAATATTAATAATCTCTACAGAGGCAGGTGTGCAAGTGAACAGTTTTGATAGATGGGCTTAATTCTATTAATATTCACAGATAAATGATAATTCATACCAGAAAGGGGGCACATTCGCTTGAGGACAAATGGAGATGCACCTCAGTACATCAGCTAACATCAATATATTTCAGTTGGTAACACAATCCCAATTTTAGCATGTAATTTATTTACAGTAAAAATTGTAATGCACTTTTTTTGCCAAAGGGAGTCAGTTGGATAAGGGGAACCTCCATGAGTGAAATCAGATTTATTGTCAAACTGCTATTTGTGTCACTTATTTCAGAATACTGAATAAGTCACTATAACGGGAGTGCATTGGCTGAGATCTGTGAGGAGAGAAAGAGAGAGAGTTAACAGCAGGAAATGGAATTGGGTTGAGTTCCATTGGTCATGTATTAATTGCAGAGGCCAGCAGGTAGCTCCACTACTATGTGCAGTGGGTGGATCCTTCCTTTGGCTGTGGATTCAGCTCTAAGGCAGCAGTAGCCTTTGTGCTGAAAGGTTTACCTTTCTGATGGCTCAGAATGGCAGAAAGATCTATGCATTTGAGTGAATTTTTCTATTTTCCAAACTAACGTGGTCCCACTACATGCAAGGGAACAATATTTCTGCAGGTTTGCAGAATATATCCGTTAACCAAACTACTGTAGGGAAAAGAAAGATAAACATGGATTTCTTTATTCATAGTGCTTGTTTTGGAAAACAATGATTAAAATGAATTCACAGGTGCTTCTAGAAGTGTCCTGCTTGTGTGGGACTTCTATACTCACTGGCACTCGTAAGCCAGTGAGAAGGAGGAACCTTCCTTCTACCTCATCATGCACCACCAAGGGTAAATGTCTCAGAGTAAAGTGAGCAATATGCTGCAGCCGGAAAGGGAGTAAGGATTTTGGAAGGGGAAGGAAAAAGAAAGACTTTGTGGGCTACAGTCTAGTTGGCTTTTTCCTGATTGCTCCAGCTGTACATTTACACAATGTAGACGCCTAATTGTTTGGTCTAGCACCTGATATTTATAATGGGTTCCCAGAGGGATTTTGTGTTAGAAGTTATTGTAAATGATATGGATCCTAGCACAGTGCATATTGCCAGTGACAGTAGGTCAAAAACATGTCAGGGTCTAGGTGTTTCCTGCCTCCTTTCTGTTATTTGGCAAGGTGATTAAATATGTGTGATTTCTAATTAAACTAAATAATGCAGCAAGACAAACACAGTCAGAACTAAATATACTTCTCAGAGATGTTACCAAAAGGTGTGACGTGATTTGCAAAAACGTACTTGTCTCCTTTGCTCTTGGAAATGCCAACTAGTTTCTCAATGCCTCCTGCGTCCCGTAAGGCCTTGGCGTTCTCCATGTTTTTTGTGATGACTTCATGCAGAGTGCAGCAAATGGCAGTAACTGTGTCATCGGACATGGCCTTGCTTGCTGAGCTATTGCTGTTGTTTCCACCAGGAAGTCGATGGACCAGGTCCCGCATAGCATATTTGCCTTTAAAAAAAAAAAATGAAGGGAGAATTCAAAGGAGATGGTAAAAAAGGGTGACCAGGAGAACTAAGGGGAAAATACACATGACAACGTTAGTACCATTTTTGTGCAATCTGATCTTCTTTTGATATTACTTTGTTGTTAGCTTTATTTTTTAAATGGGTCCAAGGAGAATTTCAGTCATTGGAGTGTCTACAAATATTCCCTGGTAGCATCAATAAGAGCTCTAGGGGTGGGTCATACCAGGCCTTTGGGAAAAGGAGGCAAGTAAAGAAAAGTATACGCATAAAGATAAACTTAAGGCTTGATAGCCCTTGCAGGGCTTGCCAAATCCATGTGTTCCTTATCCCACCACAGTACTTATGGTTAGCTGTGTTGATGCAGCACTAGCAATAGAATGTACCACAGCTGTTGCAAACAGCAGGATGATAGTTAAGCCATCCAAATTATTTGTGAATGAAGGGGTTAATCCTATCTGGAGGACAGGCTTCATAGCATACAGTTCACCCTGTATATTGCATACAGTTCATTAACTGGATATGTTAATGTTTTTATGATGCTATAGCTTATTACGAGTGTAATGATGCCATTGCATTTTAGAATTGCTTTAAAATATTATTGCTCTTTCTAAAAAGTTTCATTTGTATGACTATTAGTGGTGGGGAGGAGAGACTCCAGAACTGTGATTCAGTTTGATAGGTGGCAAAGGATTTATCTTGTGCATTATTAACATGTAAAATTTTAATCTTCTGTAATAAAAAGAGCAATTTTTTTTTATAAAGGAGTTTATTTTGAATTTCAGGCATGAGAAACAAATAGCCATTATGCTTCTCCATTTAATTTTTCCCCATGCTTTAGCTAACAAAGAAATCTTTTACACATTGCTTGCATGAACTTAGTGCTTGGAAAGAGTGAAATATCTAGAAGTCCCAGAGAATTAATTCTCCTTGTCGCTATAGAGCAAGTAAAGCACAGGCAGACAAAGTTCTCCACACTGCCTCTCTAATGTGCCTCAGCCCCATTTTGCAGGGATCACCAGTAAGGGTAAATGGGTAGTTTAGCCTCTCATCCAAGGAAGACACAAGCTGAACAATAAGAAGATTGGATCCAGTTCTCCCTGAATTTAGTGGAAAGTCTCTTAATGACATCAGTGGGGCTGCATCAGGACCTTGGGCATAATGATTACCATGACAGCATCTCTCATCATCAAAAGAGGAGAAGGAAAGTTAGGTGAGAAACAGTAACTGAAACAATCCACATCACTTTTTGGGCTGAAACATGATCAGAGACATTGTTTTGATGGCATTGCAAATCCTGATCATAACAGTTTCTTAAAAACCTTCCTTCTGAAGTTACAAATAGAATTCTTTGTTTCCACAGATGAAGTTAGGAGAAGAAAACTGCTCCCCTTTTTCTCCATAATGAATTGTTATTATCATTATTGCTATTATTATAATTGTTATTAATATTCTTTCAATGCTATTTGATGTGGTGAAACTATATCCAGTCATTTGGAACAGTTCATTAATTGTACAGCACACATTAAAATCCATGTACTGTCACAGTAAAATCAAAGATAACAAATTTATTTTCTGATACTGTCAGTTCCTAGCAATTCTCTCCTTTTGATCAAGCAACAAGGTTCCTGGCACTGGAAGTATATAACTTGCTAATAAAATGCATGCATGATGTTTTAGATTATATACTATTCTGTTATCAAGGTGATGCAATTTAGAATGTAATACCTTCATAATGTTCTGTTGTTTTGCCTGTACTATTTCATTACTGTCATTTGCATTAATACACTTTTGTAACTGTTTCTAGATGTAGTACAGTACCTCCTTTCTAGAGGTATCTGTGCATGTGAAACTGGCCTGACAAAGGGCTAAGTTGGCCTGGCTTTAGGCTGGGAGCATAGTCTCATCCTAGATGCCATCTGCAAGACATGGGCCACCATGTAGGGGAGGTTTGGAGCAGTGGATAGCGCCCCTGGTATTGGGGCATGTAATGTAGTCTCCTGCATTTTCCACCTGTTATGGGATCGGCAAAGTCATGGCAGATAAAACTGGGTGGACTGCTTCATAGAAACAGGTAGGCAGGCTGACTCAAGACTCAGCCCTGGGCTTGTCCCCTGTCACAGTGGCTGGGAAACAGCAGCCCAATGGCCAAGTACTCCAGCACTCCTCCCCCCCACCCTTGGGAATTTGTTTTGGGTGCTTGCCACGTTAAGGGCTGAGTCAGGCAGCCAGCAGGAGCCTGATTGTGGTGGCCATTTTAAAACACAGGCCAGCTTTACAAACACGGCAGTATGCTGCTGGCAGCCAGGCAGAGACATCACTTGGCTAAACTGCTGTAGGAAACATCTGGCAAGTAAGAGCAGGGGGCTCCTGATCCTGGTCATGACCAAAAACTGCAGCCTGCCGGGATAGGGAGGCCTGGTGGGACTGCTGGTGGCATGGCAGCCCCACTCACATACCAGGATTGCTTACCTCCCCGGTGAAAGCAACACCATGGCTATAAGGGGGCCAGGCATGACTGTGGCTACCTGAGCCCCACAGAGGAATGAGACTCCAGACGCTCCAGGGAGGGGATAGATGTGTAGCCCCAGAGAGGGTAGTAGTGAGGACCCTGATGAGGGTTGAGTAGGGCTGTGGGACAGCCTGAAGGGTAGCATATGGGCCAACCCCCTGAGGAACAAGAAATGAGAAACCTAGTGAGGAGCTAGGGTGGAGTTAACCCTCTGTATGGTAGATCAGCTGGCCGCTACCTAGGTAGGGGTCTTGGGAGAGGTCCAACAGACTGCATGTCACCACCTGAGGCATGATACAGATGAAGCCCCAAGGCCTATGGGAGCCAGTCCACGAAGAAGCAGGGTGGAACAAGTTGTTGATGTAAGAAAGAGACCCTGTGAGAGGGGGTGGAGTGCAAGAGGCCCTAGTGAGAGGAAGGCAGGGTGAATGTAAGTGTGAAAGAGGCCTGATGAAGGACTAAGCTGGCCCAGCTTTAGGCTGGAAGCATAGTGTCATCTTGGATGCCATCTGCGAGGCATGGGTCACCTTGTCGGGGAGGTTCAGAGCAGTGGATAGTGCCTCTGGCATCGGGGCATGTAATGGGTAGTCTCCCACATTTTCCACCAGTTATGGGAACAGCAAAGTCATGGCAGGCGAGACTGGGCAGGCTGACTAAAGACTTGGCCCCAGGCTTGCCCCCTGTCACAGCATCTCTTTCTATAATGACTCCTATAAATAAAGTGCATTCCCCCTTCCCCTGCATGAAAGCTTCCTTGCGAGAATAACCCTACAGAACACAGTATACAATGATTAGTATTTAGTCCTCTACCATAATAGTAGTTTCAGTAACTGAAACAAGTATCACATTTGTGTCATCCTCATAATACAAAATGCTTAATGGTTCTTTATCTGTTATAGTTCCCTGAACATATCAATCACAGAATAGAATAATTTAAAAAGTATTAAAGTGTCAAAGTAGATTTGCAAAGGTTTCTTATCATATTTTCAGTTTTTTACTCCTCTAAGACAGCTACCACCACTGATCAGGACTTCATAAGCACTTAGATTAGAAGCACACTCTTTCCTTTCTCTGTAGCAACTACTTAGACCGCGTCAAATATTGTTCTTCTGGTAAGCACCTGATTTAAACTGCAACTGATCATAGTTACACACCTCTTCTTTCCAGATCATGATTTTATGTCTTCCACTACCTTCTCTTCAGCAGCCAATAATTCCTTAACATTAGGTATGAAAATATCCAGATGACGGCCCATTGTTCTGTTATTCAGAATCACCGCACCACAACAGCAAGCATATTTATATTTACCCCATACAGATGCATATGTAAATACACTTTTTTTTTTGTAGAAACTTAAGAGTTTTTCGAGCTGGACACCTACATCTCAAAATTACAGAATGGTATGCGATCAATAAAACTAATATTCATAAAGTTAAGTCAATAGTAATCATAATGTATAATCATAAGCACTCCAGATACAAGACTAGATGCAGAGCAATGCTCCATTCACTATTCATTAGCTAAGACTTCTTCTCTGCACAGAGCTGGTAACATAATCAAGACAAGATCAATTCAGTTTGAGATACCCAGAATGAATCAATGAGTGGGAAATTATATAAGCAGGGGAAGCAAGTAGCATTGTACCCCTGTTATGGCACAGCACCCCTGCATTCTGAGTGGCTGTTGTACTGGTAATTCTATTTTTGAATACTTTTTCTTAATCCATTAAATATTTAATTCAAACTATGTGCTGACATTGCTGGGCAGCTGGCTTCATAATACAAAGACACCATAGATCAAAGCTGACTCTAGATATGTGTGCATAGATCCTACTGACTTTGGAGGGAATGAGTCACACATGTATCTCAGCAATGATTTTGACCCTGTTGCATTTTAACTTAAATACTGCTCTTAATCAGAGGTACAACTGAACAGGGCTCTCAAGTAGTTCAAAGAAGACAGAACTTACTCATTTTTGTACAAAATTTTTTTTATTTTTAAAAGAGATTTTGTTTAAGAAGTCTTAATGTTAGCAAGAGTGACCATTACAAATCTCATTACAATGTTTTCTTGTTTTTCGCGTGCAAATACTTTATTAAATATTTTAAAAGAATACATTGCGGAGATCAAAAAGACCTACACATAAGAGCTGGTTCCAGAGACAGCTATGAAAACATTAATGAAGAAACAACTGTCAGTTACCTGTCTCTCTGATCCACTAAATGGGACAGGAAACATTTCAGATAGTTGATAATGAAATGACATTTAGGGCATGTTTACACGTTTGTTCAGGTGCACTTAAAATTAACACGCATTAAGGCAATTTAGGCTCATGTTTACACGGGCATGCGTTAAAGCGCATTAATGCAGTGTGCATGGGCTGACATGGAATTAAAGTTAGTCCCAACTCAGTCCATACACAGTGTTAATTCACCTCAATGCACCTCAATGTGCATTAATGCGCTTTAGCTATT